AATCGGGAGGTACATGGTATGCAAGCAAAAGGTGTCTCATAAGGCAAAATGGCTGGCCCTTTCAGTAGGGGTGACACTATAATAAACAAGACCTTTACCTTTTTATGGGTAACCTGGGTAAAAACTAGGTCACACCACCCAAATATGGGAAAACCTTGTTAACAATCTAGTGGTTACATTTTTGACTCAATTGTCATCTAACTATGTCAGGATGCTTGTCTAAGTAATTACTTTGATGAGTTTGATGGGTTAGGTGAGTGATCTAGGGCCATCTGGACCCTCTTGTAAATGTCCAAAAGATAAGTAATGATTTAAAAAAAACACACACAAAAAGGTTTGAAGATAAAGTATCCAGTAGGGACGTGTAATGAACTTGTTTTCTTTTGAATTTTGACCTGAACATGACTCAGATGTTAGGGTTTTTGAAATTTAAGAAAATTTCTGAGGTGAAACATAATGAAACAGATGAAAAATAAAATGTGTTCCATTGATATTCATAAAGGTTTCCATTTAAGATGTTAAATGAAGGAACACAGGTTTGGTAGAACCGATGGATTACATTTTATATATTTGGTAAGTCCAAAAGAATGCAAATAATTGTGGAACATTTGAGTCTGTAGATAATGATTTGATCTGAAGAGCACAGGAAATCTATGTCACTGGAAACATATTGCTGAGATTAAAAGAAAGGAGCATTAGATTAAGGATTTGAGACATGCTGAAAATATAATAAAAAGATAACTTGACGTAAGAATTTTGGTATTTCAGGGAAAGAGAAAGAGAATTAGTAAAAAGATGAATGGGAAGAAGAGAAGTCGAGATATTGAAGAAATGAATAGTGGAGCGATACCTAAATATCCAAATGCAGTGAGTAAATTTATTTTATGAGTGTTATACTCAGATATGAAGATAAAATTTGCATTGTTAAAAATTGTCTTAATGGTTTTATTTGTTAGGTGAAGATGATATCATAATGAATCATCAGGTTTCAGGATTGATCCTTGATTACTTTCCAAAAGATATTACAAAGATTGATAAATGGTGAAAAAATGGTGGTTGGGTGATTCATTTTAATAAATGCATAATTATATGTTGTGTTTACATAATTTTCATAAGTGAACAGTTGACAGTCATAGTGGTGTCATTTCCATTCTAGGCAGATATAATAATATGCCTTCAAAAGCTAGTGTGGTAAAGTAAAACGAATAAATGAGCCACGTCATGACAAAACCAACGTAATGCATTTGCGACCAGCATGGATCCAGACCAGCCTGCGCATCCGCGCAGTCTGATCAGGATCCATGCTGTTCGCTGTCAGTTTCTCCACTTGAAATAGAGTTGGTAAGCGAACAACATGGATCCTGATCAGACTGCGCAGGCTTGTCTGGATTCATGCTGGTCGCAAACCCACTATGTTGGTTTTGTCGTGACGCCGCTCAAATAATCTACATGTAGGTATTTGTTAATGCATTTTTATTCATGAAAGCAGTCCAGTTAGTTCAGTAAATGGATTGTTGGACTGTGAAACGGATGACCCTGTTTCGATTCTTGGACACCACAGGGCGCTTTCATTGTGATTCAGATCATGTAATCCGTTATCAGTTCCTTCCGAAAGTGAAGGCAACTAGTACTGGTAAATGCCTTGGCTTACCATAGAACAATGCGGTGGTTGAACTGTGCTCTTGTAAATTCAATTAGGCTCTCTGCCATGATTCAGAAGGTAAACTACCAACACCACCATATTAATTAATGAATGATAGAACAGACTTTGGTTAAATCAATAAACATAAATCATTTTTAAGTTTTTGATGTTATTTATTTTATTAACTACAGGTTTTCCCTCTACCCACAAACCTTGGTTCCAGTATCGGAGCAGCCCCATTACATGTAGAGGAGGCGGCTATATCAGAACGAGAGTCATGTGACTACAGCATTAAGATCTCATTGGCTGACGCTCAAGCCGGAAGAGGTAATATTTGCTTATGTCATTGAGGAAAAAATAAATTTTAGTTTTAAATGCTTGTTTGTTAATGTCAATGAAAAATGTTAGTTTAAAAGACCTTTTGGTATAAGAATTAAACATACATGTAAATTACTTAAAGCTGAACAATTTGTCATGTGGATGAAAAGGCGAGATTTTAGCATTTAATCATTCAAGCGCCTTCCCTGGTATAATTCTGGAATATGGTATTTAGTATGGAGCTCCAACACTTTTGAGTGTCACCCATTTTTTTTAAAATCACTGTATAGTGTTAATGTATTTTACAAGTCTTTTGATATTTCAGCACCAAGACGTGTGCGAGTGTATGCAGACGGCATTTATGATATGTTCCATTCTGGTCATGCAAGGCAACTCATGCAAGCAAAGATGGCCTGTCCAAATACATACCTGATTGTTGGAGGTACAATATATTATAATACAAAATATGTCTGTGTTAAAAATGAATTCTCTTTAATTTGTTCTTGTTATTGTACAAACAACCAGTTCTTAACAATATTTAGATACTTGTGTGTATACCATATAGAGGATATTGAATGAGTGTAAGTTTAATACTGAATTTATTGCACAAGTTGAATAAAATTATATTATGCGAGCCTAATATTATTTTATTCTACGTGTTCAATAAATTCAGTAATGATCTTACATGAATTTAAAATTCTATTTGTCACATACCCAAAATAAAGTCCATTTAAAGTGAAAAATAGAGTCATTTTTCATTGACGAGCGTATAGTATAACGCTAACATTTAGTGCGTCTTTACACTATGTTTGTAAAACGCTAATGATGTCATGTCAAAATATATGCACAACCGTGCAGTACCATTTTTACTTAGTCGCAAAATCGGCATGGGTGTGTGATAAAAAGCAATACTAAGTATTCAATTAAATATGTTACCTTTTAATGGGGAAAAAAGTCTTCCGCTGTATTTTTGACAGTATGACTTGTTATTTAAGGTGCAATGTATGTTTTACATGATGATTTCAGTAAAACTGTGTCTGTTGAAAAAAGTTAATTATGTGGTTTTTAATCTTTGTCTATAACAACTATTGTAACATACCAGACAAATTGATTCTTTATCTGAAATTGAGGTCATGTTTGATTTTAAAAATGAGTCAAGTTATAATATCTATGTTAAGTGGATGGTCATTGTCTGATTATATAATTAAGCCATGTACTAAATTATAACCTCTGCATTAAACAGTGTGAATTTAATTGTCACAAAATTGCAACCTTCAGTGTGTTGATGTTACTAAATGTGTGATAACTGAACATTTTTTATTGAGGTAAGGTCATGTCAGTACAGAGTGAGTTATACCAGAACTTGACAAATTTTGGCTTTTCCCATGATCATCTAATCCTTGTGTACAAATAAATTTTCACAGTTACAGCATGGTAAATATATCAATAATGAGTGCCACACGTTACTAACTTTCTTGTTAATGGCAGTGCACTGTGGAGCTACAACAGTAAAGTTTATTTACACCCTAAGATTAGATGGAAGGACCAACATTTGCTGAGTTTAGATAACATCAATACTATTAAGCTCACGTAGCTTAGAAGAGCAACAGGGTAAAACCTTTGACCTTTTTGTAAGGTTACTGAACACTAGTACATGAAAGAATTAATCTCCATGGTGAGATTTAAACCTGTAGAATCAAAGTGGACAACCATAACCACTTATCTTTAGATATTCTTAAATGATCTTAAACACTGCTAAATTGAAGCCTTGAGTATCTTTGACTATAGTCAATTGTTATTTCTATTTTAGTTTGTAATGATAATTTGACACATAAAATGAAGGGTCGTACAGTTATGAATGAGACGGAGCGTTACGAGGCATTGAGACATTGTCGTTACGTGGACGAGGTAGTCACAGATGCTCCATGGACATGTACAAATGAATACCTCACACACCATAAGGTAAAATAATGAGATAATGTACAAACAAATACTTGAAACACCATAAGAAAAATTTATTAGTTAGTGTACAAATAAATACCTCACACGCCATAAGGAAAATTTATAAGTTAGAATAGTGTACAAATAAATACCTCAAACACCATAGGAAAAATTTACTAGTTAGAATAGTGTACAAATAAATACCTGAAACACCATAAGGAAAATTTATTAGTCAGTGTACAAATCAATATCTCACACGCCATCAGGAAATCTAAAGTCAAGGTCACCGGAGGGGACTTTAGGTTTACCCTCCGTCCGTCTGTCTGTCTGTCCGTCTGTACGTCTGTCTGTCTGTCAGTCTGTCAGTCCGTCCCTCCACAAAACTGGATCCCGCGATAACTTGAAAAGTACAGAAAATATTTTTATGAAACTTGATATATGGATAGATGGCAGTATGGAGATTATGCACGTCTTTTTCTTTTCTTCCTATGTTGAAAATTCTGGTTGCTATGGCAACAAATAGGCTTAAAATATGGCACATTTTACACATAAACTGGATCCAGTGATAACACAAAAAGTACTGGAAATATTTTTATGAAACTTGAAATATGGGTAGATGGCAGTCTGGAGATTATGCACGTCTTTTTCTTTTCTTCCTATGTTGAAAATTCTGGTTGCTATGGCAACAAATAGACTGAAAATATGCCAAATTTTACACATAAACTGGATCCTGTGTTAACGCAAAAAGTAATAGAAATATTTTTATGAAACTTGTAATATGGGTAGATGGCAGTCTTGAGATTATGCACGTTTTTTATTTTCTTCCTATGCTGAAAATTCTGGTTGCTATGGCAACACATAGACTGAAAATATGGCAAATTTTACACTTACACTGAATCCAGTGATAACTCAAAAAGTACTGGAAATATTTTTATGAAACTTGATATATGGGTAGATGGCAGTCTTGAGATTATGCTTATCGTATCTGTTCTCTCTATTTTGAAAAAAATATTGGTTGCCTTGGCAACAAATAGGCTTAAAACATGGCAAATATAACATTGTTTGTGATAAGTCAAAAAGAGCTGAATTTTTTTTTATGAAATTGCATCTTTAATTCAAGAGTTATCTCCTCTTTAAGCATTTTGCTTTTAAAAATGTTATATTTTGGTAACAGGGATGTTTCAGATATTAACTTTAGAGTGTCCTTCAGTCCGTCTGTCTGTCTGTTCATAAAAACTGTTTCCTGTGATCACTTTTAAAGAACTTTTCCAACAAATTTACTTAAAATATAGAAAAATTGAAACATAAGTGAATGGCCATTGGCCCTTCAGAATGTTGATGGGGTTCTAACCGGTAGGGGACTTATGGATTGCTTGCAATACTATGATAATTGCTTGTTATCATTGTGATGCCATATCACAAGGGCAGATAATCCTGAAATAATATTTTGTGAAGTTGTGTCCCTATTTGACTGGTTATCTAATTTGTAAAGAATGATTTCTCAAAAACAATACAAGATTTTCACTTTAAACTTCGAATTCTTGTTCACTATTGAAATTGTAATGCATTTCAAAATGGAGGATAACCCTGAAGGCTATTTTTGGCCATTATTCTGCAAAGCATTGTGTAACGTAATCTATAGTCTTAGTTGTCAATGACAATACTGATGGCAGGTAAATTTTTCACATTATGTTTTTGAAATCCTTTAAACAGAAAATGAACAGTTCCAAATTGAAAGCGAGACTGGTCTGCCAGATTTTTACAAATTTATTAGGGATATTAATTAATGTTTGTACATACTTTTGTATTTAACAGATTGATTTTGTTGCTCATGATGACATTCCGTACACAGCAGGGAACACAGATGATGTTTATAAAGATATTAAGGCTAGAGGAATGTTGGTATAGCTTTATTACCTATAATACTTGGTAAAAATGCGATCTTTGTCAGTCAGATATTTGTGTTTTGAATGTTAGGTTACCAGAACTTGGTGCAAAAACTTTTTAATGTAGTCCATTATTCAAGCATTTTAAAAGGTATCAACATGAAACTAAGAATTTGTGCTTATCATGACAAGGTGCAGTTGTTAGAGACAAGGGGCATCATTCTGAAAGCAATATTTTTGGAGTCATGCGCCTTATAACTTAGAATTTTTAACAGAATAGCGTTAACACTGCATACGGTGCTCTTGTTGTATTTTGATGTTGAAGGACATAAACATAACAATGGACGGTTCTAAGAAGACCAGTTCATTACAAAAATAAAGTAGTAAAGGGTTAAAATTATTGAATTCCTGCATGCTGAAATTCTATTAGAAATAAGAGACTTTTTTGATTGATAGAACTCTGTTCAAAAATCTGCCTTGAAAAGTTATATATAAATATTTTGTGAAGTAAAAAAGGAAAGATAAGTAATTATTTCACAAAGTTTATCAACCTCCAGATAAACCTTGTAAAATAGATACTTATTTAAACATTGTTTCCTGAGAGGTTTCTAAAAAGGCAGAAAAAAGGTCTAAATTAGTTCTTTACATTTTGAAATATGGCTGTAATTCCTATTAGTTTGTATTATAATTATTCAGGTTTTTAACGACACAACGAACAGAAGGTATTTCTACAACAGATGTTATAGCAAGGATTATAAAAGATTATGACATGTATGTTAGACGAAACTTACAGAGAGGGTACACTGCTAAAGAACTTAATGTCAGCTATATGAAGGTAAACTTCTTAGTTTTTAGTTTATACAAATCTGACAGGGTTTGAACCCATGCGGCCAGCAATCCTTAGATTACTTGTCTGATGCGTTAACCACTCGGCCATGGTAAAAATTTGATTTAAGCTATAAATGCACTAATTTTTTGCCAAGAGTTCTTTGCCAATTAAGGCAATTTATATATCAAGTTTTGATACAAAGGCTTTAGGAGCCTTGCCTTTTGGCACATATTTCCTTACCACTGTGGCTCTTGTCAGAATTTATAAAAAAAAGAATTCTAGGTTTTCATAATATAATTTGTCACATACCCATGCGACTTTTGCTAGTCAGTAAAAACAGTATTGCACAGCTGTGCATATATTTTTATATGACATCATTTGCATTATAAAAACATAGCTTAAGAACATGCTTATTATTAGCATTACAATATAGGCGCCTCATTACTAAATTTATTGAACTTGTTAAATAAAATAGTACTTTGCTCGCAAGAGGCTCGCATAATATAATTTTTTTCAACTTGTTCAATAAACTTAGTATTGAATATACACTCATTCAATATCCTCTATAAATACATATAATTGTGAAGAAGAACGAGTAATTGTTTATGTTATCTATGTTATAAACATTATATGTGTTTAGGAGAAGAAACTACAGTTCACAGAGAAGGTGGATAAATTAAAGCATAAAGGACGCGAGTGGAAAGACAAAGGAAAAGAATGGCTCGACAACTGGCAGGACCGCTCTAATGAGTTCATTGGCAACTTCCTCACATTGTTTAATCCTGATGGCAGAATTGTATGTTTAAAAAATAAATCTTTATATTAACTTTGGTAATATTAATATCAATAATTAACTAGCTAAATATTAGCAGTGATAATTAGTGGCATACTCTACTCACGAAATAAAAAACATACAAAAATATTAAATTTTTTTTAAAAATTTGGTTTATAGACTGATTTTTGGGGAATTTTTTTTTTTTAAAGATTTTGATTTACAAACTGATTATTTTTGTTGTAATTATATTTGCTACTAAACTTTTCTTAAGAAAAGTTGTTGATTGTTATACCAATATCTCAATTCTGGCAACAATACTTAATACCAAGCATTGTTAAATCAAATCTATACAGTGTATAGGCATTTTTTTAAGTGGCTTATAAAATTAAACCTGTCAGTTTAGCTAGCCTTTGAAGATTTCAAATAGCTGGACAATACAATTCAATAACCATTTACCTTCATTGTTTCCAGGGTAACTGGATGAAGGAAAGTATTCGCGCCATCTCACCAACTATGGAACGTCAAGAAGAGGAAAACACTTCTTCCAATAGTTCGTCACCTACCAGTCCATCTGCTAAACGTGTGCGACCTTCCAGCCCTGTAAACTTTGGTGTCGCCAAAGAATTAGACTTTGATGTTTCAGATGATGATGAACAATTTCAAGATGTTGATGATGACGACGATGATGACATTTGAATTCAAGAAAATGTTTTTTTTACCAAGCCTTAAAGAATAAATTTGAATAGTTTTCCAAGCTTTGAACAAGCTGTATTCATATCTAATCATCTGCCAAGGAAAAGGGTGATTTATTATTCAGCTTAATTTTATATAAATACATATTTATTTATAATTCATATTTGCAATAAGGTTATATAAATGCATGAATACATCTTATGCTGTGTTTGGGTATACATCTCAGACATATTTGTTAATGTGTTCAAAGCATTAGATGGTCATTTCTATAAATTTGATGAATGGCCGAGAGATTTTATTTTATACTATGCTTGAATTAATGTTTTAGATATGATTACATTTGTAGAGATAATTCAATATTTTTAAAATGAAAATAATTTTTGGGTCAATATTGATAAGAACAAATGCAGAAATTAAAAAATTGAATTGACTGAAAAGGGTTAGGCAGGGGACTTTGTCGGGTTTTTTTCTCAAGACAATCTTTTTATAATTGATGTTTTGTTGTCTTTTTATTGCCCCTCTATATTCGTTAACAACTGTATTTATAATTTTGTTATATAGATCTATGATAAGATAGTAGACAAACCAAGCTTTAAATTGTAATAAGAGATATTCCATGATTTTATTTTTTCTTGATTGTTATTAAATACTATATACATATCTGTTGCTAATTATAAAGTTTATTCTATTAAGGATCCAAGCATGACATGATCTTTTATTCTAGCTGCAATTTATATGATGACCTTATTTCTTGTTGTTTTTTTTAAATAAATATCTTATTCCCCTTTATCAGTATTATAGTTATTTTCATATTTTTTGTTACAAAATTTTAACTTTTTTATTAAATTTTTAGGCCGTCTTTTTTGAAGAAAAAGTCGGGCTACTATGATCACTGCATCTTGTTGTCTTTGTTAAAAACTTTTATGTAGCCCATTATTCAAACTTTTCAGAAGTTATCAATAAACTTGGAATACTTGCTTATCTTGACAAGTTGCTGTTGTTAGACAAGGGACAAAATTCTGAAAGCAATAACTTTGGAGTTATGCCCCTTTTTTACTTAGAATTTTCAACACTGACTGCATGTGGTGTTCTTGTTTTTGTTTATATTTCTTGATGTCATGTAAAATAACACTTTGAATTGGTTAAATTGTTGTTGGGGAAAAATTACAACTGAATTTTATTGACACATATTTATAAGATGTGAATATTCAAATAAGTTAAACATACAGAGATTTTAAAATAATATGTCATTAAACATGAAGTGTTTACTTACATTTTTTTTTTTTTTTCATTTTAGTCGATTAAAATAGGTGCTACATACATTATATGGTTGTATACTGCTTTACACTGTTGTATTTATAGTTCTGTACATGTACATATTTATACTTTGTTTGCCAGTAAGGTTAACAAACCTAAACGCACAATCATTATTACTATTTTAAACAACTAGTCTCTAAATAGATTATCTGTGAAGACTTACATAGTTTCTTCTCTAAACTTTTGTATTTATATACATAATGTATTCTATGTATTCTACCATGTTTTGTGAACTGTTAATTTATTTCTTCAATCTTGCCTCTACATATGAATGTGCCATTATTCTAATTATAATAATATAATAGATTTGTATTTGCATGTATATGTCATAGGTCAAGAAAAATTACCATTTATTAGGGTATTAGCTAGTTATCAAGGCTAACATCTTCTATTTTCTATGCTGTTTAAAGGCTTAGACTGCAGTAATGGGTTAAGTCCTTTTAAATTATAAGTTATGTAACTGGTTACCACCACCAGTATAGAGACTAGTCAACCTGCAGGTCAATAAAGTCTTACCAGCCTGCTTGATTTTAGTACTTTGATATTCAAATACAATGTACCTAATTTTATCATGTTGAAGGCGGATTGATGGTGTAATTACGATGATCCATTTATTTCTCATAATTTTGTTTCGATGTAAATGAGATCAGGGTCTGAAGACTTTATTTAATTTCGTCTCACAGGACCATTAATTTTAAGATTGAAATCCATTTAAAGAAATTCAATTCAAAAAGTTTTCATGTTAAATACAATCAAGGTTAAGCATATGCTTTTAATTGCTTAGTTTTACGAAAGATGAAGATAGTTTTTTAATTACACAATGCAGTGCATTCTGACATATATCATTTTATTATTTTGTTAAATGTAATTGAAATTTTACTGTTGTTATATATTTGTATAATATGACCAGTATATTTAATGTGAGTCATGGTTTTCTGTTGAATGAGACCAAACTTTTTGTACTAATTGTTTTATTGTTATGAAAGAACATTTACATATTTGACGTAAAAAGAAGCAAAACATTGTATTTTATATGTCATACAAATATATGTATGCTAAAGTATTTACATATATAAGAAATTTTGCATATGTGTTATGCACATTTGACTAATTATGAGATATGCATCCAGAAGTTGAATGAAATCTTCATTAGGTAATAATGGGAAGAAATGTTGATCCTGATGTCATTTTTCATGCATGACTAAATACTTTAAATGAAAATAAACTGAAAGAAAAGTTAAAGAAAAAATAAAGTTATCTTTTTTTTTTGGGGGGGGGGGGGGGACATGTGTTCTGATCTAGAAAACATACATAGGGTAAGAATAACGTCATGTTTGCAGGATGTGACATAACAGTATGACAGTATGTCGACATGCAAAGATAAGAGTTTTGATAGAATTTAATACAATTGAAATATTTCTATATTATATATATTTCTATGATAACTGTGTGGTTTTGAAGTTTAATTTTTAAATGAATTGAAACATTTCTTGTGCTGGATGTTTCTTTTTCGTAGCTGTGAAATAGAAAAAACACAATATAACATTGATTATTTTATGATGTTTTGCAAAGAAATGGTATCTATAACTATATTTGAAATTGTGTTTGTGAGACATTCAATTTTGATAAAATAGTATAATAACATCTATCAGTGAATTTGTAAATATCTGAACTTGTAATAACAACCTATATATGGTAAATGTTGTGCATCCATTATTCTGAAATCCCTTAATGTACTTGTGTTCATATTGACTTTTCCAAGCAAGTTCTCTAAAACATAATACAGTGCAATAAGTTTTCTGAATAAGCTTTGAATGATCAATTCATAAACAAAAATGAATTTATGTTCAATTAAGATCTATTCATGTAGTACATTTTTCATCTTTCATCATGTAGTTGTCAGAGAGGTTCTAAAACTATGTCTATTTATAGATTTATAGTTATTTATATATCTACAGCTGTATATACTGTAACCCAACGAATATTCGCGACCAATTAATATTCGCTTTATTCGCGGATGGCCACGAAGCGCGAATATTTGTTTGCGCGAATAAGTCCGCACGATTTCGCGAATAAATTGGAGAGACATTTTTATTTTAGACGTTGTTCATGCAAAGCTGCTTGACTGGATATATTCGAATTTTACGGGCACCTGTCAGGAAGTAATGAATTGTTATGAATATTGCCATAAAGCAATAAAAACACAAACTAAGTAAACTACTACAATGTTATGAATATCAAAAGAACTCCCTGTCAATATAGCAATCAAAATAAACATCCACATTTTAATACAATTTATGAAATACTAGTAGGCCCATTGTCAATCACGTTCCGTGATCACAATTCACTTACCAATACAATATAAGGCTAGCGTATTGTTAATCCCATTTAAGACACCAATAATGACCTCAATTATTGAAGATTAATAGTCGGCTAATGGATTTTACGGCCCCATCAGACTTTCCAATCCGCGAATATTTTTTTTCGGAAATCAAGAAAACGCGGAAATTAATATTCGCAAATATGTCCGACCTCGGCAAAACGCGAAAATTTGTATTCGCGAATATAAATTGGGTTACAGTAGACCTAAAGCTGCTAATTAATCAATTAATAATTATTAATAGATATTATTATATACTTATAAATGAAATATTGAGAAATATTGATAAAATAAAATGCGTATTTTCATTTTCTGTATTTTCACTGTAAAAATTTATTTTTCACTGCAGTGAAACATATTTTCCGTATTTTCACTGGTGTCTTGCCGGACTACTTTCTTTTAAATTCTGCCAGTACACAAAATTTAAGGGAAAATCTTTCAATTTTATCGCAAAAAAAGAGAAAAATGTATATAATAAACAGAAAATTCAAGTTTTTTCTATAAATACATGATTTATTTTCATCTTGTGGCATGAAAATTACAATATTTCACTCGTGGCTACCGTCACTCATGAAATATTTATTTTCATACCACTCAATGAAAATAAATCATTTATTTATAGAAAAAACTTGAATATCCTCTATGTAAACTACTAATGACTTGTTAAACATGTATATGCCCATAAGGTGAAGACCTACATTTTCCTTATGCTTGAAAAATTCCATAAAATTTCATAGAAAAGGTTAACTTTATTAGATAAAGTTGAAGTTATTAACCACAATAATAAGTAAATTAAAGGGATCTATTATGACACAAATGTATATGAAACAGAATTGTTATTTATTTTGCATTCCATTTGTTGCTGTTCATATGTATTTATTTTTTTCATTGTCTAAATAGTCATGACTATTTATTTGTTTATATGTCTGTTTTTAACTTTTAAAATTGGTAACTGATATATTTTATTATTTGTATAAGTATTTTGACATTGTTTTCAGCTTAAATTTTTTTTTTTAATTTTATATCTTAAAGATATGATACTTGAGAGCTCAATATGACATGGTTTAATAAAATAGAGATTGATTTTATGTGTGCATTATTGTAAAATATTGCACAGTTAGGAGTTCAGTAACATATCATAAAGGCCACAGTGGAGTAAATAATTATTAATATCGGAACTCTTTATTGTGCAATATTATATGTTACTTTTTACCTATTTTGTTGAACTACATTTTTTTCATGTAACTGTTAGGTGTTTTTTTTATCAACATGTTTATATACAAATATATTTCAATATATGCATGTATGTGGATGCAAAACACCTGTATTATATGCAGAATATACTGGTATTTGGACTGGTTCCATAATGAAAAATCATAATAGATACTTCCCTAATATCTCTTCCAATATTATTTATTTTGTCCACATAAGGTTTTGTTTTCTTTATCAATTATTTTCAGCCAATCACTGCTTTTAAATCGTACCATATGACCATTCAATATATTACCATATTGGATGCTGTAGCATCCAATATATTTATCCTGTATCGGACAAGTGAGTGTGTTTGACTTTTTCCATGAGATGTCAATATAAAAGCCGTTAAAGACAGAATTATCTGAATAAATTTCACTTAGAACTTCCAAAATGCCGTGCTAAAACAAATCAGACTTGTCAAACCATTATAATAATGGCCACATTTTGCATCTCCTCAATATAATTAAGATACAGAATAAACAGGGTATTGAACTTTGAACAGATACAATATGGGAATAAATTTGGACTTGTACACAGCTTGAAAAAAAAAGCATATGACTAGCCAGGCAGCTTGTCCAATATGGTTTTATTAGCTTTGTAATCATTAATATTTCCATATTGTAAAGTTCAATGTAAAGTAACCTTTTACAGAGCCTTTTTAATGGTGACAAAATTATGAGCTATGTGTAGCTCATACTAGCATGTGTTACCTGAAAGGTATTTTATGCTCACCTTTTTTTTCCCCAGAAATTTATTGAAATCTATGAAATTCTCACAGAATATGTCTTATTTGAATAAAAAAAAATGTTAAAACTATGTATGAGAAGCTGCATTCCCTATTATGAGTCAAATAAAGTTGGTCTTCCAGTTTTTAAATGACAATATGTAATATACAATTATTCATATTGGATCCACCTATAGTGTGTAGAGTGTAAGGCATAAAATATCTACTTTGTGTAAAGTCAAAACATGTTTATTATAGCCCAACATACCTACTTTTTGTAGAGTCAAAACATGTTTATTCTATATGTACAAAGAGACTGTGTAGCAATTAGCTATATTTTCAAATATCAAATTTGAGCATAGTATATCTAAAAAAGAAAACATTTTTACATTGTTTTGTTTTGTATTGGTGTTGAATCAGGGTGGAAGAGTAATGCTATTATCATGACCAGTAATATATTTCATGTGCCGAATTCATTGCCATTTTAAATATTATGCTTAACTTCTTGTTTAATTTATATTTTTCCTCCTTTTTGTACTGCCATTAACACAATAACCTCGAAAATCTAGTACACTAGATGATTCTTTCAGTCTTGTACATGTAAGTTGAACAAGGGCCGTAACTGTCTCACTTGCCAGAAAAAATATACACTACTATATACTTAAATCATTTATTTATTTATGTAAATTATTTGTTAAAATACATATACATATATTTGATGTATTTTTATATATGGTGGTTTTATTCATTTATTTATGAATTTGTCAATATGTTTGCAATGATTTCAATCATAAGTTTCATTTTATTTCTTACATGGTTATAATGATAATTCAGCAGTACATCAAGTTAGATCTATATGAAGATTTTTCATGTAAAAGACAAATGTAAAACAGGTGTATTTAACACTAAAACAATATTGTATTTGAAAAATAATTGAATTTTTGTTGTAGATGGAAATGAAAAAAATGATCACCTTAATAAAAGAACATACAATGTTTTAGTTTTGTTCTGGACCCGAGTAAAGTACAGCACTGAGGAGAAGTAAAAGATAGTCACATGTTAGTGACTGCCATAAAGTTTCTTTTTCTTATAATTTTGCCAAACTCTGTTCATTTAAACTACTTGAACTTTATTGTAATATTGTACAATTCTTCATGAAAATTGTCGAATAATTGACTCTAATTTCAGCAAAAAATGACATGTTTTTTTCCATTCATATCAGTTAAATAATTATTTTTTTCATAATATATATTACTTTTATTGTGACACTAATAAAAGGCATATATGCAATTTATTCTTTGTTATATTTTCAAAGAGAAGAGGCGTCCGTTGACTTCAAACCACTTGTTCCTCATGGCCGACAGGGACTTTGAATGATTTCACGCGAGGAGGCTATCTGTCACGTCGGGAAGTTATCCAGCTAGCTTACGGAGCATCGGTGCCCGTTTGTGACTAAATTGGTGCACGTAAGGGCACTTGAGCTATGCCTCCACCAGTAAAGCCCCCCCCCCCCCCCGCCTCGAAAAAATAAAATAAATGAAAAACGTGTCCGGTTATACAGTGGTTACCTATTACATGTTAAAATATTGCAAACATTGTTCTGATACGTACTCCCTTCCACCCTCGTGTATAGATTTTCATTTTTTTTAAAGACTTGGATATGCATTAATCACGTTTCGTGATAAGTTTTATAAGTTAAAATCTTTGCGGCGACCATACTGTAAATCTCATGTAAGCAAGACCATGGAGACAAAAAGCAGTATTAAAGACACCTTTGCACTGTAACCAACAACATAAAATAAGTGTTGGAAACGAATGTGATGCGTACTACATGTACATCATTTAATCTTGTACCATGATTCTGCCTTTCGTTATCTGTATTTCGTGTAAAGAAACCATTGCTTGTATCATAGTTGAGGGACCTTTCTGTTGAAAATATGTCAGGGTTAAATCGTATACATATACATGCACAGTGCGTAAACTGGAGTGCAGTTATCGCACTCCAGATCATGCCCATTGATTGGCTCATTTTTGCTGGGGTTTACTTATTGTGACGGCAGAGAAAGGAAAAGCGATAGAAATATCATATACAGATGCTCCTTCATTGGTTACTTTTTCTGGGGTTTCATATTGTGACAACAGGGAACGTGTTATTATGTTTGACATTGATACAAAAGAGAAAGAACAATAAAACACTCGGCAATCTGATTTATACTCGGGGGCTACGCCCCCTCGTATAAATCAGATAGCCTCGTGTTTTGATGCTCTTTCTATGAAACTGCCAATTAACGTCGCACAAGCACATGGAAAGCATGGCACAAGTTTTCATATACAACTACCGCGGCCGTCATTGCATTAAGCTGTTTTTTTGTATTTTCTGATCGCAAATCAGCAAATACAATTCTGACATTCAATCTCTGACACAGAAGTTTCAAGACAAACCTAACAACAAGTAGTTCTCAAAACAGCTTAAAACTTTCGATTTAAAAGAAAGAAATATCTTTATTTTGTCACAAGTATCAAACAAATTACAACGCATTCAAAGTTTAAAAGTAGCGTTGGCTTATAGAATTGTCAATAAATGCACTCGGATGAATATGATTTTAATCAATGGAAATGCTATTTTAGTGATGTCGATTACCGTATACCTGACTGGCGAGTAGAGGAAATAAACATGTTGGACTGTTTTGGCGAGAAGATTTTCGCTAAATTATTTACATCAATGTTGAACAGCAGGTATATCGTGAACAAAATACCTCGAAATTAATATGGATTACAAACCTTGCATGGATATTCTAAATAAGAACTATTTCATTTTATTCAGACTGTCCCCGTCACACTTCTCCGTGGTGCAGGGGTAAACTTTTTTTTAAGGAAGTAGCCACGATATGCAAGGATAAAAGGATAAAGTGTGGCTGTCATAAAAATGAACATAAATAGTTTTTGATGCATCTCTAGTCATGCAAAATTCCGTATGTATCAAACTGTTATAATAGTAAAAACCCAAACGTAGTCACTGCATCTCGCTGCCCGGCAAGGTGAATTGAAGTATATAAAAAATAAACATATAACAGGAAAATTCATACAGATATATTGAAGTTTACGTAGTAAACGCGGTTTATGCAAGATCTAAATTAATTCTACTTTCGATTTGATGTTTACATCGTCGGTACTTGACCTATATCCGGTTTCTAATACCACGTGACTAAATTCAGCTCCCTTATCAACAAAGTAGGACCCGCATCAGCAGCAATACGTATGCAGCC